CCCACCCCCACAACCACCCCTCTCTCCCCCAATATCGCCATCATTACTTCGACCCCTAGACCCTTACCGATTACCCTCTTTGCCTTTATCTATTTTCATATAGTGTTTGCCTAAATTATATCTCAAAAATATTTTCTACGCTACCTTACCAAGCACCGAAAAAAATAAAAAACTCAATTATTTTTAGGTAAATCCAAGGAAAATATTTTCCATAATACTAAACACACTCAATTTTAAAAACAGAAAGAATATTATATGTACATAATTATTTTCTAGGAAAAAAAAACGAACATAGACAGTGGAAGTCCATACTTTATTATATCCTTATTCTTTCACACCTAGTTTAATGATCTAAAACAATAAGCAATAAAATGCGGTGACAAATCATGATTGGTGCAACAGTGGCTAAATAATCATGTCGAAATTTCAAAAAAGTCATCATCCTCGAGCATGTTAACCCATGCCTCTATTCCCTCCCCACATTTTGTACCCATAAAGATGACCACATTCTTAAAAGGAAAAGTTGTAGTACATACCCATACTGGCTTTCCCCATCCAAAATCCACTTCATACACAGGAAATCTACACCAACTGCTAAAATTATAAAACTCAACTTCCTCCTTCGAGAATAGCTCTGCAAATTTACTTATATGTTTCAAAAACTCTTCCCCGTTTTGTAATATCTCAGTATAGTCACTGTTAATTTTCTTATTGCACTTCTCAAGTGGTATAACAAATCATCAATTCCGAATATTTCTTCACTTTTTGGACTTAAGAATGCTGGTGCAGTTGTCCAAAGGTTCCCAAAGGAGTTGTCTGATAGGGTTGGATTCATTCGCGATCTTATATTCACTGCATGCACCGCGGCAAACATCTTTGTAGAGTCTCTGTTCAACTTTGAAACTTTCATTAAGTTCTTCCATAAAAAGGCCGAGAGAGCTTCCACGCGAGTGGGATCCTTCACTTGTGATCCTGAAGCCGACTTCTTGATTGCATCAAGCTTTTCCTTATTAAAAACAAATCTTCTTGACAGAAATTTATCGTTCTTTATCCCGATAGATGGTTTGAAACTTGACTTAGACAAGTCTAATGGCGGAAAAATACTTGACATGTTAAAATTAGGTTGCGCAATTCCAGTGTGATTTCCCCGAGCAATGGCTGCCCATGCATTGATGAACGTTACTATAGACGAACCGTCACCAACTTTGTGAGACATGCACACACCAATGGCAATTCCTCCACAATTAAATATATTAACTTGGACTGCTAGAAGAACATCATTATTCTCTACCTCACTTGCTTCTCTTGGGAGAAATTCTCTTACTTCTTCCGTTTTTGGAGTTTCTATAACTTGTGAAAGGTAACCATGAACTTGAGCTTCAATAAACTCGGCTCCAGCATCATTGCAATCAATAAAATTGTTATCATTGAACCTTCCGGCCAATGGGTAGAATCGCGTTAAAGCATCGGATAGAGATTTCTTCAGGATCTGTATATTTCTTGAACGATTGATATTTCCAAGTTCATCTTGGTAGAAGAAAATTAGAGGGATGAAAACTGGGGGTGAAATTTGATCGAGAAGTGATAGTTTGTGGGTTTTAAGGGTACAAGTTGTTGGAGATGATGGTTTGATCATTTCTTTGGATATGATCTCCACTATGGCTGCCATCTCTTATGCTTTTATGATTCTTTCAAGAATAGTTTGTTCTACTTGGAAATGCAGGCTACCACACAAATAAAGAGTGCTTTCATAGTGATATATATAGAAATATATTGTGGGTGCTAGGCTTGATGTCAAGATATCCAAATTTACCAAACATATTTAACTAAGTTGAATATTAACCAAAGGAAATAAAGCACATATCAGCTTTTCTTTGAATTATTCTAGCTTTAATATTATTGTCAAAATAAGAGTAATCTTGATACTGTTTGACAACCAACTATTAATTTCACTATCAATGGAAGGTGGAAGAAATAAAAAACATTTATCATATGTCCATGATTACAGATTAGGCCTTTCATCACTAGCTGCATTTACAATAGTTGATTCGATAAATACATGATCATAGAAGCTCCACTTGTCATGTTTCCACAAGAATACAGTAATACTACTACTACAACAACAAACAGTAATTATACCTCAATCCCGACTATGTTGGTGGAAGATCCATGGAAGCACAAAGGAGTGGTGGCATCTTAGAGGACTCTAGAGAGTCCTAGGAAGCTGCCTAGGTTGGCCAAAGGGGCTGTCATACAAGCTACAAGAAGCTAGCATTCAATAGAAGGTTCTAGAATGGCCTAGCGTGGCCATGCCCTTGGGCAATAGGGGCGGCCCAATGCCCCACCTACTTAGGGGCCTATTCCACCGACTTTAAGGCTTCAAGAACTCTCCTATAAAAATAAGGTTGGGTCAAAAATATGAATCCTCATTCCTTTCATTTACAACAACAACAACAATAATAATAATAGAATTTTTCTACCATATCTAAAGCATATTGCCAATTAGTAGGTATCACCTATATGGATTTTCTCTTTCGCCGATGTGAGGACGTGATTTTTGCCCTATATGAATCACTCCCACAAATTCAAAACGAAATAATTTTTCCACTGCTTGCAATTTCGTGAATTTTTGTAGCATTTTGTTATTGTTTACATTTGTCTGTGCATGTTTATTTTATTTAATTAGTGAAAAATAGAAAAATACGTTGCATTTGCATTTAGGATTTAATTTTACATTTGTTAGACTAATTAGCAAATTAGTTGTTTTATAAAAATGGAAAAATAAAAAAATAATAATTTATTTTCACTTTTAATTTTAGCTTCGAATTTTGGTAGTTTCCTTTGATTTGGTTTTTAATTAATTGTGGTAATTAATTAATTTAAGTTGTTAGGATTAATTTAATTTAGGAATTAGTATTGATTTATTTTTATTTCAAAAAAAAAGAGAAAAAAGAGAAAAAAGGAGAAGAAAAGGAAATTAAAAAGAGTTTGAAATTAAAAGGAACTAATTTGAAAAAGAAGAAGTGAAAAATAGAGGTTGTATTTGGGCCAAATCTGTGTCAGCCCAAATGATTTCCACCAGAACCCGTTTAATTGAGGCCCAAACCTATTTTCCACCCGGTCCGGTCTCTACTTAACTAAAACGACCTCGTTTTAACAGACCAAATCAGGACCGTTGATCTTTGTTGATCTAACGGTCGGAAATGGGGTTTGATACGTATAATAATGTCCGAACCCCTTCAGCCCCCCTCTCATCGTCTCTTTCATTTCACATCTTTAGAGACCACCCCTGAAACCCTAGCGGCCGCCCCCTTTTCCCACCGCTTTAGGGTGGTAGCGCCGGCTCTAAACTCCACCAAAATAACATCACGGAACCACTTAGACCCCCTCATACTGAATCCACAATTCATTTCCCTCAAATCCTCCTTAAACTTCTCGAATCTTAAATCCAAAATCCGAGTTTCTTAGAGCCAAATCCAAACCTGGGCATTCAGGATGATTGTTCCAACCCTCATGAGTTTTTAGAGCCGGTTTTGTCACGAAATAGTGTTGTTCACTTGTTCTTGACAAAGAATAAGCGACTAACATTATTTGGGGATGAATTTAGAGTGTTAAGTCTCGAGTTCGAGTTTGGTGCGGTGAGTTCTTTCTGTATTTCGATTCATTTTGTTTTCTTTCCTCTTCTTTTCTTCTTTTTTCTTTGGACAACTCAGTTAATTGGACTCAATTCTTAGCCGAAATTGATAACTGTCCGTTTGTTCTTCTCAAGTTTGTTCTTCAATCTTGTTTTGTTTGTTTAGTTCCTTTTTGTTAATAGCAGGATTACTGTTCTTATTTCATCATCTGTTTAATCACATAGTTAATGTAATTAGGCCCATAACCTAGGTAATTTCCTGTTATGTAGTTAGGTTAATTAGTTCATTCACTTTTGTTTTATTTTGGCTGCATTTTTTAAAAGGTTACGAGTTTCTTCTTTTGGAAATTTTGGGTCAGTTCTTAAAATTGGGAGCCCCTGATTGATTTTGATGGGATTCTGAAATTCAAAGCGCCCAAGTGGGGATTTAGTTTGGGTTTACAGACCCATACCAAATTTGGTTGGGTCAATTTGACCCACATTTTGATTTCAGGGGTAATAACAAGGGCTCATGGGGGAAATTTGGAAAATCTAAGTAGGGAATATTTTAGTAACTGAATATGAAGCTTCTAGGAAGCTGGGGAGAGGGACTNTTTTTTAAAAGGTTCCGAGTTTCTTCTTTTGGAAATTTTGGGTCAGTTCTTAAAATTGGGAGCCCCTGATTGATTTTGATTGGATTCTGAAATTCAAAGAGCCCAAGTGGGGATTTAGTTTGGGTTTACAGACCCATACCAAATTTGGTTGGGTCAATTTGACCCACATTTTGATTTCAGGGGTAATAACAAGGGCTCATGGGGGAAATTTGGAAAATCTAAGTAGGGAATATTTTAGTAACTGAATATGAAGCTTCTAGGAAGCTGGGGAGAGGGACTGATTTTTAGCTCTGAAATTTAAACAAAGGACTCCTAAGCAAAAACAAAAATTCCAGAAAGTTTTAAGTGCAAAACTAGTGGCATTTCTGCAACCCTAGTATCTTGCCTATAAAGGTATCATAGCTTGACACTCAAGTCAGAGAAAAAATTCATAAAATTCAGAAAAATAAAAAACAACTAAAAATTTCATTAGAATCACTGTTCCATTGAACTTCTTTTGTGATTTCTGAAGTTTCGATTTCTGAAACAATTTCTGATTCATCTGGGGTAAAAATGGACTGAATTTGGGGTTTTAAAAAGTTTGGTTTGAAGTTTTCTGTGGTTATCGCTCGATTGAAACTGGTTTTTGGACTGCTGCACATCATTTTTCTATTTGAAATTGGTTCTGCTGGTGCTGACTTCCGCTATTACTACTGTTGACCCTTCACTTCTTATTTCTATTTATTTCCAGGTATTCCTTCCAACCATGAATGGAAATGAAGGTCGATTGAGCTGTTTGTGAAGCCATGTAACTCAAGTTGATGAAATGACCATTGTTAATTCTCTATTATTCTTCATTTTTACTAGTTTCTTGTATTTTGTTCTGGGTTTCTTTTAGCTCAGCCTTCTTATGAGTCATTCATGTCACCATGGCTATATATTTTGTCCTAAGGGTTAGATACGAGTTTTCTGCTTGAATGTAGTTGATTCATGAATGTCTTCTAGATTTAGTGTAATATGTATGAACTGGAGGCTGCACTCCTTAGTTTGATTGTGAAGTTGGTTGGCTCTGAATGTGTTTTATAGCTATGGGTTGCATGTTGATCATTTCAAACTATTCCTGCCCTAGTTTAGTAAATCTGAGTTGAGTTTTGCCTCTCATTGATCGTGTATTTAGACTTGTTTATATGCAGCATGAAGCGTAGTCTACTAAGTTCAGAAGTTTATAGTTTAGTTTTGCCTCTGTTCGTATGTAAGTTGTGAATTTCAAAAGGACTTTCAAGAATGGAATTTGAATTTGATTTCAAATTTGAGATTTTTTAGACTTAGCTTGACTCTTTATAGGTTGTTCATTCTCGAAAAGTTTGAGTCAAGGACGTTGGTTTGAACCAGGGCATGCATGAGTTGTAACTAATGAATTTGCAATGTTAAAGGATGAAATAACTTGTGTAAGGGTTGCTATCACATCAGGAATTGAATCCTCATTTCAGAATTTATGTTGGCATTTAATTCACCTTTGTATTTATTTTAATTTAAGAGTTTCATAGAAATATTGTTTCCACACCAAGTGTTAGTGCAGAATCGGATCTGGGCTGCCAATGTTGGCCCAGTTATGTTCATCAGCATTCAGTGTTTCTTGACCTGGCTTCACGTTAAGCCCAGTTGTGTTGTTGAGCTCGTTAAGGAGTTATCGAATTGCAATTGGGTCCATTGTCGGCCCAAGCCCTGAAAGCCAAATCTTTGTTTTAGTTTAATGCAGGCCTCTAATTACTAGGCCAAGCTCGAACATTAGCCTAAAATAATTAGAATCCTTTAAGTTTTCCTTAATTAATTGGTGGAGGTGAGCCATATTAAACAACATAAATAGCTTATGGCCCTCAAACATTTAGCCTGAACTTCCTTTTAAAAATGGAATCGAGGCGTGCCATGCCAAATAAAATCTTAATTGCATGACCCTCGTTTAATTAATCTTGTTTATTCTTAGAAATTGAGGCGTGTCATTTAGCGAATTTTTATGGCCCTCGCAAAGTTGCAAACGCGTAGTTGCTTTAGATGCATTATTTTAATAATTTACCTTCCTAAACTCGAGTGCGCATTTATGTGACCCAAATCCAAATCTCAACAATATTAGATAAAATATGTCAAGGATCGCGGGTGCATTTATGTGACGTGGTTCAAGTCATGTTTTTAATAACATTGCAATCTTCCTAAAAAATAAATAAAAGCGGTTTTAAAGTTAAAATGCACATAGGTTTAAAAGTGTATTAAAATCAGATAACAGGCCAAATATAATAGTTGAGCGACCATGCTAGAACCACGGAATCCGGGAATGCCTAACACCTTTTCCCAGTTAACAGAATTCCTTACCCAGATTTCTGGTTCACGGACTGTAAAACAGAGTCAATCTTTTCCTCGATTCGGGATTTGAACCGGTGACTTGGGACACCCTAAATTATCCCAAGTGGCGACTCTGAATTTCTTAATATAAATAATCCCATTTCGATTGTCACTTTAATTGAAAAAAACTCCCTTATATATCCCTTTTCGGGGGTGTAGGAAAAAGGAGGTGTGACAGCTCTGGCGACTCTGCTGGGG